TTCTGGATCCGCACCAGTCTGGTTTCAAGGCAGGTCACTCCACAGAAACTGCCCTCCTTGCTGTCACTGAGGAACTGCACACTGCTAAAGCAACCTCCCTCTCCTCTGTCATCATCCTTTTGGACCTGTCTGCTGCATTCGACATGGTGAATCATCAGATCCTCCTTCGCACTCTCCAAGAACTTGGAGTTTCAGGCTCTGCACTTTCCCTCCTCACCTCATACCTCAAAGACCGCACCTACAGGGTTACTTGGAGAGGGTCCGAGTCCGACCCTTGTCAATTAACTACAGGGGTCCCTCAGGGCTCTGTTCTTGGTCCCCTCCTCTTCTCCTTGTACACAAACTCGCTCGGATCAGTCATTAGCCCGCATGGTTTTTCATACCACTGCTACGCTGACGACACCCAATTAATTCTGTCCTTTCCCCGCTCAGAGATCCAGGTCGTCGCACGCATCTCTGCTTGTCTAGCTGACATCTCTCAGTGGATGTCTGATATCACCTCAAGCTCAACCTTGACAAGACTGAACTGCTTTTCCTTCCAGGAAAAGATTGTCCCACTCTTGACCTAACAATCAACATCGGCACCTCTGTTGTTTCCCGACTCAGACTGCAAGGAATCTTGGTGTGACCCCAGATAACAACCTGTCCTTCACTGCAAACATCGCTGCTACAACCCGCTGCTGCAGATACACGCTTTACAACATCAGGAGGATGCGTCCCCAGCTGACTCAGAAAGCGACGCAGGTTCTGGTCCAGGCTCTCGTCATCTCACGCCTAGACTACTGCAACTCCCTCCTGGCTGGTCTACCTGCATGTGCCATCCGACCTCTGCAGCTCATCCAGAATGCAGCTGCTCGCCTGGTCTTCAACCTTCCTAAATTCTCCCACACCACGCCGCTCCTCCGCTGCCTTCACTGGCTTCCGATAACTGCTAGAATCCACTTCAAGACAATGGTACTTGCGTACCATGCTGCGAATGGATCTGGCCCTTCCTACATCCAGGACATGGTTAAACCGTACACCCCAGCACGTGCACTCCGCTCTGCATCAACCAAACGGCTCGCTGCACCCTCGCTGCGAAGGGGACCCAAGTTCCCATCAGCAAAAACACGTGGGTTTGCTATCCTGGCTCCAAAATGGTGGAATGAGCTCCCCATTGACATCAGGACAGCAGATAGCTTACACACCTTCCGGCGCAGACTGAAAACTCATCTCTTTCGACTCCACTTCGAGCGATAGAACTATTAACAAAGCACTTATATACTAATAAAGGACTGGCTTATCTAAAGCCAGTTGAGTAGCACTTGAAATGTTTTTGCTCTATGAAGCCTGATGTACTTATATGATTCTGTTTTCTTCAAGTTTGTATTTTGTTGGTCGAACGCACTTATTGTAAGTCGCTTTGGATAAAAGCGTCAGCTAAATGCAATGTAATGTAATGTAATGCCAGCCTGAAAGCCTCAACCAGACAAAAGAGGGGAAAGGGCATCAGGAAAAGGGTGGCTCCTTCTACTGTGATGCCAAAGAACTGGAAGGACTTTCTTCGATGCGATGAGAACAAAACCGACATGTTTGCTTTCCTGTCTCGCAGAGTTGTTCATCTTCCTCTCGCAGAGGGCAAGGAACTGTATGCAACAGATGGAAGTGGAGTCCTCTGCTCTCCTGCTGAGTCTTACTTAGCCTGCCTTGCCCCGTGTTCTCAAGAGGAGGCCAACACTCATCTACTTCTGCATGTGGCAGATGCTGTGCAAAAGGGGTGTAAGAAGGTGACCATACGTACAGTTGATACCGATGTGGTGGTACTGGCTGTGGCTTCATTCAGCAAAATAGCTCCTGATGAGCTGTGGGTTGCCTTTGGTGTTGGATCAAGCTTTCACTACATAGCTGTTCATTAAATTGTTGCGACAATGAATCCAACAAAGTGTCTGACTCTCCCAGTCCTTCACGCTTTCACTGGGTGTGACACTGTCTCTGCCTTCGCTGGCAGAGGGAAGAAGACTGCCTGGGAAACGTGGAAGTCTTTCCCAGAGGTGACTGGTGCTTTCAATTAACTCATATGCATGCCAAGTGAGGTCAGTGAAGGATCAATGTTACTGCTGGAGAGATTTGTGGTGCTGATGTACGACCGAACCAGTGAGAGCATGGAGGTGAATGAAGCCAGGAAACAGCTCTTCACACAGAAGTCTAGATCTCTAGAGAACATTCCTCCAACCCAGGCAGCACTGAAGCAGCACATCAAGCACACTTGCTACCAGGCCAACTGTTGGAACCAGGCATTGGTCCTGGATCCAGAGATGCCAGAGCCGTCTGACTGGGGCTGGACAGAGGAAACAACTGGGTGGCAGCCACTTTGGACCACTCTACCTGAAGCATCAAAATCGTGCCATGAATTGATCCACTGTCGCTGCCAGAAAGGGTGCACTGGACGATGCAAGTGTGCCAAAGCTGCACTGAAGTGCACTGCACTATGTTTCTGTTCTGGAGACTGTTAGATTTAGATCTTTATTATTATCATCATTTAAATAGACTAGCACCATGGGTCTATTATTTTGTATTATTATCCCTAAATTGAAGCACATTTCACTATATTGCATAGGTTGAACCAAAAGTTTTTAATGTAATTTGACCTTGTCCTTGATCTAAATTAATTGTCTTTAATTCTGGCGATCTCAAAAGTGTCATCAGATGAATGGGCATCCCCAATTTAGGTGGAAATGACATTATTTTCTACATTGTTTGGTTCCAACATTTAAAAAACGTGGACTTTAAACACAGAGGACTTGATCTTGGATTTGACTGTTACTTTGATGTCATGTATCTAGCTGATGATAAGTTGATATCACACACACACACACACACACACACTAAATAATTTGCAATTTTACAAATTTCAACTGATTGACAGCTTATTTTTGGTCAATTTCTACCTTTATCTTCACCTAAATGCATTTTCTTGAATTCTGGCAACCTCAAAAGTATCACCAAATGATTGGGCATCCCTAATTTAGTTGGATATGACACCTTAAATGTTTTTCTACAATGTTTGGTTCCAAAATTAAGTGTGTTTGAACATTTTACCCAAGAGACTGACGGCCATCTTGGATTTGACCTCTCACGGTCCTCACAGGTCAAATCTGACTTCCCTCCACATCTGAAAATAAACCTTATGGTATGCACTAACTATGCTAGAAATGTCATGCTTTTCTCATAAAATGCACAATTGTTATAATATGAGAGCTTATCCGCTGTACTACTTCCATTCGGGGAAACACGCTGCACTTTCAGAAACGATGCAATATAAAAACACAATGTAGAAACATCTTCAGCAACTTGACAGAACATGCGTAGCGTTTAGAAAACATTAACCTACGTGACGGAATATACGAAGCATTCTAAGGCATACTAAAAGCGCTGCATAAACAAAACGCTGTAAATACAAAAAGCTCAAAACACAACGGAAATGGGGACACTAAAAAGTGATGCATACAGCTGGGACCGGAGCACTTGTTGACGTTCGGGGATTATCGAGTTGGTCAACTGTCACTTTTGGAAGAGTTAGTCCGTACCATAATTGTGCTTTGTCAGTATATTTGAATATTACGTTCCCTACTGGGCAAGGGGAACCAAAGGGAAGCAACACAACCAGAATGGGATTGGTAATAATTATAAGTGGTTTTATTATAAAACAGTGTGAAACAAAATGGCAGGCATGCAGCCTGAACAAACAAAAGGGCCAAAAGGACACAGGTTGATAACCAAACAAAAGGAGGACTCTAAAAGTGAGCCTATTTACACACCTGAAATCACTAATCAACACTAACGAAAGGAGGCTGCAAGAAAACACAGCTAAATAAGGCAACTAAACACACTACTCTAAACACATATCTCAACACGACACTAAGCACATATATAATCACACTAAACACACTACACGAGTTAAACACAGTCTGATAGCTTAAGTCTAAAGTGTCCACAACACAAGAGCAAAATGGGTGAGGCGTCTACTCGCAGCAGAGCCTCCAGAGTGATGATTGTCCCCAGCTTTGTAGTCGTCTCCAGCAGGTGTGCGCCGGCTGTGCGCTGCAATGGGAGTGCGTCGGGCCCGGCGTGCTCCAATCACAACCTTCAGGGGGCGGACCAGGAGATGGCAGCCAATCACGACAGGGCAATCGCACAGCTCATTTACATGCAACACACATTAACACAGTTAAGAGAACCAGGAAGGCAGCAGCCGTAACTTTGAAATGTCTAGATAAGCTATGTTAGCTTGCAGCAGATCTGCAATAATATCTGACGTTATCATGTGATAACATTGTTAACATAAGCCAATAAAACGTACATTGAAGAATGAGAGAGCTCACGTCACAGCTGTTTGCATCACTTTTTAGAGTCCCCGTTTCCGGTTCCATTTTGAGCTTTCAGCCTTTTGTTTTTGCAGCATTTTCTGAATCCTGTGCATGTTTTATCAAGTTGGTACTATAAAGATTTTTCTTCACTTGCATGTGTTTTGGCGAATGCAAATATATTTCTAAAACCTCAGAGCACTAATGGAAGTGTTTTGGGCCGTTGTAGCACTGTAAAGAGTAGAGCAATAATTAAAAGGAGATTAAGACATGTTTAGAAGTTGCTTCTTTTGTGACCAGATGAGTCAGTGCCACCATTTGGCCCTCATTTATATGGCATCACTTTTGTTTGAGTTGCTGCCTGTCAGCAATCGTGATCCTCATGCTAATTCTGCCCTTCTTTCCTCTCCTTCACCCCTGTGCCTTGTTGCAGCTCAAACACATCCTTCATCTACGCTTCACTTGCTAATTTTGAACCCTTTTCAATTTTCTTCAAATGTCCGTCTCTTATCTGCCATGTGCACATGAATACTCCTCTATTTATACTTGTATTGACATCCTTTAGTTCTTCTTTACTACCTCTCGTCTCATGGTCTGTTTCCATGTCCTCTCTTTATGGTTATAATCAACTACTTTTCAATTTCTCCCTCTTCTCAGGACTATGCAGAACGGCCCGATGTGCCGTGGCTAAGTGATTTTTACTGGCAGACATGCTGCGAACTGGAGGACACTCTGCCCTGCTGCAAGGACATCTCCAAGGAAATCACAAGCAACCATATCTGCATTGAGTTCGGTAAAAAAAATCATTTTTTTTAGATTGAGATTTTCATCAGATGATTTTTCTACCATAAAAATGATTTTCATATAAGTTTTTTGTAGCATTAAATGTTTGTTGCTTCTACTTTAGGACGTTTTCAAGCATCCATTAATCCAGAGAAGTGGGAAGGCTATGCCCCAGAGTTACCTCCTCTTGGGGAGACGGAAGAGGGGAAGCAGGAGAACAGCGTCAGAGGCGACCTGAATGAGAGGCTGGGGGCCTTCCAGAAGCTTGTCCTTATCAAGAGCTTCCTTGAAGAAAAGGTGAGCTCTGGAAAAGACATTTTTTTCTACTTGCGTCACAACTTGTGAATTATAAATATTTAAAAGAGTCGGGGTACTGGCAGGTTGCCGATTGGATATTATTATCTGGATATTAGTATTAAAATATCCAAATAGTAATATTATTATCCGAATATTAGGAGTCAATTATACGGATGTGATTTAAAGTATCTGAATATAACAAATATCCGAAAATAATTATTTAATAATCCGAACATTTGTATTCAATCTTCTGGATTTTCGTGGAAGTATCTAAATATTAGTATTTAATCATCCAATTATTAGTATTCAATCATACAAATAGTACAAATAGTATCCGACTATCAGTAGTCATTTATCTGAATAGTGATTTTAGTATCTGGATATTTGTATAAGTAGCCGAATTTCAGTAATAAATATATATATTTGTATCCAACAATTATTATTGAATTATATGAATATTGGTATACAATTATAGTAATATAATAATCCAAAATATTTTAATACATTTACAAATAGTAGTATTCATGTTTCTGCATTGTAACAATACTATCTGAATAATGGAACATCATTATTATGCGCATCAGCTTAAAGTTGTATTATTGTCCGAATATTAGTAGTCAGTTATCCAAATAATAATATTGTCAACAAATTCAATTATCTAAATATCCAAATGTCTAATGGCGCCTATTTACAACTTTGGCTGGCTGCAATTCTTAGCTGGATCCAACGCCAAATTCTTCTTGGGACCCTTGCACTCCCATGGAAAACCAGACACGCCAATAACTAGATCTTCAAAACAAAACCTTTCCAGTCTCGTCAGTGAAGTCCTGTCCAGTGTTGAGAAAAATACAGCAATGATCTATTACATTTGATATCTTTTTTATGTCACCATGATGTTCTCTCCTTGGTTATAGCATGAGCCAATTTTCACTTTTATGTCTTCCCCTTAGCGGAGATCCTCTTCATCTGTTACATGCTCTTTCCTTACCCCTGATTTACTACTACCTGCCCTCTTGGTCCTGTTGACGATCTTCCTCCCCCTTCTTGTCCAGGTGGTGTTTGCAGCCACTGAGTTTGTGATTGTCAGCCTCGGGAAGCAGTTTGTAGAGAACCCTCCGGTGGACCTGGCGAACCTCTACAATGATATGTCCCCCTCCACACCGCTGGTCTTTATCCTCAGCACTGGATCCGACCCCATGGGTGCCTTCCAGCGTTTTGCAAAAGAACAAGGTTGTCTTGACAGGTAACAAAGCCTAGAATATAAGGTCTAGGTGAATACACAGATTCCAGCCATCAACCTGGAAGTTGTTTACACATGATCAACCTCTTTCTGTCTCTTAGAGTCGAGTCCATCTCATTGGGTCAAGGTCAGGGGCCAATAGCAGAGAAGATTATCCATGCAGCAATGAAAACTGGCAAATGGGTGTTCCTGCAGAACTGTCATCTGGCTGTCTCCTGGATGTTAGCCATGGAAGAGCTCATTAAGACCTTCACTGAGCCTGGTATTACACACATTGATACGACATTAAAACAATCACCTATAGCCTACAAACACATCAGCAGTTTGACACCTAATTCAGATGTGGCTACTGTCCAATGTGTGATTATATTGTGTACTGTTGCTCTTCATCATGGATGGTTTATGGCAGGGGTGGGGAATCTCCGGCCCCCGGGCCGTATACGGCCCGCGAGACAATTTGGTACGGCCCTCGAGGTAATTTATAAACACACGCAAAAAAGAAAAAATGTGAGAAATCTAGACCGCAAAAAAAATTAAACAAGCGAGTACCTGTTTTTCCTAGCCAAGGTCAGGGTCCTTGAACACAACACGAGCCTAACGTGTCATTACGTGGTATATGTCTCGTCTGACAGGGGTGCAGTTCTGACTGAGAGCACCAGAACGTCACTCCGGCACTTCCAGAAATTGCAGTACCAAGGAGCCGTACACATGCTGCAGTTTCTGCGTGCCTGTGTCTTTAGTTGAAAGCCCAGTGGCGATCTGTTCATCTGTCATACAGTCAATACCTTTGTTGTTATTAGCATCTGGTTAGCTAGCTATGCTAACGAATATAAGAAGCTTTTTCTACAACCGGTGAGGCAAAGGCACATCTTTATATGATCGTTATAGTTATAAAAAAATAAGAGAATAAAGTAAACAGGTATAAAATACTATATGACAGTAAAAAAAAGTTGTTATTAATAAACAAGAATACAGTTTGAAAGGAGAGTGATTTGTAAAATATCCATAAAGAAAAATAAATCTGCGTACAGTTCTGTTTCATATGGGTGTTGAGAGATGTATCCATAGATCTCTTAATGTTGCTCTCAAAGTGCACCAGATTGATGCTTTTAACTTCAACATTTAAAAAAAAACCTTCCCGGGGGAGCGTGCCCCCGGACCTCCCTAGAGGAGGTTAGGTCCCCCCCACTTAAATCATGTCCACATGAATAGGAAACTAAATACTTTTGCACACATCTTGTGTCAATATCTTTCTGTTTTGGTGGTCATGCCACAACCGTGCACGTGCATGCATGCGCGAGTCATGGTAAAATATCTAGATTAAGAGGTTGTTTTTTCTTTGCACAGCATGAAAGAAAGGCCAAATGAATCTGTGATTTTAGTATTTTTAAGCAGAGGTCAATAACTTGTATACGGCCCTCGGAGGATATTGTAAAAATTGAAATGGCCCTTGAGAGGAAAAAGGTTCCCCACCCCTGGTTTATGGGATGATGGACTCCTGGGCAGAGACATCTAAACAAACACCTCTTCCCATCCAACATAGGAGCAACACAAATCTGTATAGCTGTGTGGCCCCTTTTTTTGTTGTTGTGCCTCCTTTGGTCAGTTTGTGTCTTTTGTAGTCATTATGCATCTCTTATAGTTTGTCTTTCTATGGATATCTTTTATTTAAAAGAGGACACATTTTTTCCAATTCGAGGCTAAAATAAAAAGAGTAGACTTACATGTTATATAAAAAGGCATTAAAAGGTACAACTTATTAATAACAAAAACAATACTTTAAAAAGAAGCAATCATTTAAAGTGAACATATTATTTAAGTAGCTACTAATATTTACAAAATGTAAATACATAGAAAGAATGAAAATAAATCCTAAATTGCACATGAGCATCTATTGCACATGAGTAGTGTTACTAAAGAAAGTTATATATCACAGGTAGTGTTATTGCACATCAGAGATATGACAGTCTGTGCATTATGAGAGCCAAATAGCGTGAGAACAAAAAACAACAGTGATACAACCTAACCCAGCTACATGACTTACTTCCTGTTCTTTTTGTGTTTTTTCCCCAGGTTAACACATCATACTTTAGATAATAAGATACTTTAATGCATATTTTTCTGTGATGCCAGAGACACAGTCATTATGTTCTCTTTTATTTTGTTTATGCCTGTGAATGACCATCCTTTCTGTTTCCTGTGCAGACACATCAATCGACGAGAACTTCCGTTTGTTTCTCAGTTCCATGCCGACCAAAGTATTTCCTGTTACAGTGCTTCAGAACTCTGTCAAGGTACACACAGAGACACACACACACGCACATCATTTGTAACTCTTTAATCTCTCTTTAGTTCCCTGCAGGTAATTTGAAGATTGTCAAACTTTGCTCCGCGGGATATATGTTCCCAGGATTAGGAAACATGTTGAATTAATTTCCGATATTGGCACTCGATGAAATTGACTCTGGCTAGGCATTGTCTGTGCAGAACTCCCCGTGTTCTTCTCAATAGCAGCCATTGAACACCTATGTTCCAGAGTTTCCGTTAGCCGGTAATTACCGGTTTTTAGCTGGTAAAATTTAATAAAAACCGGTAAATTCAAAACCTGCCGGTCAAAATGTCCGATGCTCCGATCGATTGGCCGCCGATCATTATCGGCCGATATTCACTCTTAATAGTTTGATCGGTGCTCTCTATAAAGGCCGATCAGGAGAGCTGGATCTGGATATGGACATAAACGCGAGTGAAGTGTAACCGGACCCGAGAGAGAGATCAGATCAGCTGCTGTATTTACCTGAAGCCCCGCACACTGTTTAGCGAGCTGCATGAGAAACTGACGGGCTGTCAGGAGAGAGAGGGAGGGAGAGAGGATCCGTTTCTCCCGTGTTATTGTTCAGTTAATTTAAACTTTTGAATAATGTACTTTATCTACTACAAGTAATTTCTTTGAATGTAATAATGATGTTGTTTGTTGTTTGTGGAATCATTTATTGAAAAATGAATCTGAATTTTTCGATCTGTTACGATTATAAACTGAAGCAATATAAAAATGACTCCCATTAACTGAGTTTGAAACATCAGCATATCTGCTCATAGTCCGGTAATTACCTGCTAACGGAAACTCTGCTACACAATTCTTATTATTATTATTGAAACATGACCGTTAAGTTTCAAATGTGTCCGGTAAAATAAATTCTGTCCGGACATTTGACCGGCGAGAAAAAATCCTAGCGGAAACCCTGCTATGTTCCTAATTATCATTGTTGCTAGGTGACTAATGAGCCACCTAAAGGCCTCCGCGCCAACATGCGACGGGCCTTCACAGAGATCTCCAGCAATTTCTTTGAAGATAACGTTCTGGGACGCGAATGGAGGAAGATAATCTTTGGAATGTGCTTTTTCCACGCAATCATCCAGGTTACTCACCAACTCACACATTCTTGATCATTTTTGTTTACTTTCTTGCATGCATGGCTTTTCTGAGGTCTGTTCCTGTCCCTCTATGTTATGTCCTTATTTTTGTCTTGTTTTGCATGTGTGTTTCTTAGGAGAGGAAGAAGTTTGGTCCTCTGGGCTGGAACATCCGCTATGAGTTTAACGACAGTGACAGGGAGTGTGCGCTGCTCAACCTCAGCCTCTACTGCAAAGAGGGCAAAATCCCTTGGGACGCTCTCATCTATATCACTGGTAGGGAGGCTCTCATACAGTGATAAGTGTGGGAAGGCTCTGTAACACTTTTCATTCACGATCGCGCAAAATTGAGTAACTACCGATCATATTATCCCTATTTTAAACAACAAAGATGTTAATAATACTTATCTATGGATGTTCTTTGCTTAACCTAGCCACCGAAAAAAAGTCATCACACTCCAATATTCTACTCCCCTAAATAGAAAAGCACAAAACATGACTTATGCAACACTGCTGCTTCTTTATATCTATAGTTTTCACTACAGCAGCATTTTTGATTGGTCAGCAGCACCATTCTAAAGGAATTTTAAAGGTCACCTATTGTGCAAAATCCACTTTTTTTTCTGTGTAAAGAGATTCTGAACGTTTCAGGAAAAAAGATTTGCTCACTTTTTGTCCTGATCCATTTATATAAAAACCTGTCTGAAAATGAGCTGATCAGATTTTGGCCACTTTATGATGTCAAAACCATGTTTTGGCTTGAGTAACCATTAGCCAATAACCAACCAAGGTAACAACCACCCACTTTATCACCGAGAATCAGCACTTTTGAAACAGGGCTGAAACAGAGGGGATTATGGGATGCTACAATGCATTATATGTAGGGATGCACGATATTGGTTTTTTGAAACCGATACCGATAACTTCCTGCTTCTCAAGACCGATACCGATAACCGATAATAATATAATATATATATATATATATATATTAAATGTACCTGTAGTTTTTGCACACCTGGTGGTAAAACGTGAGCAAATGACATGAGCATTACTACTATGAACAAAACAAAGCCAAGAACAGTTTTGACTCTTCAAAGTGACCATATTTATTTTCCCAAATAAAGTTCTTGCCTTTTTCAAAAGCCTCGTCGATAGGTAAAAGCCCCGGTGCCTTTGCAGCTGGCTTTGGATTCGCCGCTAGTTTAGCAGCGCAGGCGTCTTCGTACGCTTTTAACACACCATCGTAGCAATGGCGATGTTTCAGGTGACTAATCAGGTTGGAAGTATTATAGCTCGTTGCCTTTTTCCCGCCTCGTGGAACTTCTGCATTTGTTAATACAAATAGCAAGCGAACTATCTAACTCTGAAACTTTGAAATAGTCCCATACTACCGACGACATGTTTGTTTACTGTCCTGGCTTCACGGCCGCACACCATTTACGTCACAGCCAGGCATGAGTTAGGGAGCGCTGGATTTGTGAAAAACTCCCCTCTTCCTAAACCACTAATACCACTGTTCTGGCAAAACGGGAGGAGCCGAGTGAAAAACAAGCGCACCTAATCCCAATCCACCCACACCGCAGTATTTTTTTCTTTTTTTTTACCCAAAAAATATATTGTATATTATCGGGGCTATTAATACTTTTATCGGGTTTATCGGGATGACGTCATAATTCCTAATATATATAATGGGTGGCTTGTGTAATTCGTGGAGAACCGAAGAGTTTTTTTTTTTTGGGGGGGGGGGGTGGTGTCCAACTCACGGACTGACGGACAACTTCTCACTTCAAAACATAGACTTTACTTGGGCGGGCCGCCCACGTATAGCCTATTAACGGCCGCCAAAGTATATTTTTGTATCCATCCGTGAGCACGACTAGTGGACAATGATCCCTCGCTCTACGCCTCCTGTACCTGTTCGCTCTGCTATCGCGTGAAGGGTCTGCTAACAAGCGACCAACAGAAGACAAACAGAGGAGTCACATGTTGTTGAACATCAGTCATGCGCAAATGCGGCGCACTTCTGCGCTGTAACCCCGCTGCGAGGATCCGGCGAACTAATGCCCCTTTGACACCAACGCGGTTCGGGGTTCCAGGGCCGGTTCGGAGCTAGAGCCTGATAAGCACCGGTGACGTCATGACGCAGCAGCACCAGTCGGTTGCGTAAAGCAGTTAGTAAAGCAGACGTAAAGCAGTAGAAACACTTTCGCAAGCAAAGAAGAAGAAAAACTGAAGCCCTTAAAGTCAAAAGTGTATAATATCAACCAGTAAATAATAATAAAAACCCTTGATTTATAACGTAACATCTCTGTCTCCTCTTGATCTGAGTATATTATAAAGAATAGCAGTTAATTTAAGCATTATAGCACAGGCCTTTGTCAGATGGTATATTACGCTGTTTTTTTTCTGCTTCGAATAGTTCTCTCTTTTTTCACCATACCTGTGTTTGCATCCCTGATATACAGTATAAGGTAAAATCAATCAATGTAGCCTATTCACCTTATGAAGCCCCGCCCATGTTCCTAGTTGTATGTCTTAGTGCTGCCGGTTTAGAAATAACAGCATTGTAAACAATTGATTTGATTCAAGATTATTTAAAGCTACACTGCAGTATGGATTTACAGTACCACATCCATCCTCTCTTAGTGAATGGCAGGATTACATATGAGGACATTTATTTGATTTGCCGCTCAGACTGCAAACTAAAGCTCATGTCAACAGTTTATAATAACTCTTAATGGCAGAAGGGTAGACAAAGGTCCAAAGTGTTGACAATAATAAAAACAACCTAGATACCGAACTCAATTACCCTGTCTGCGTGCTATTTAGCTAGCCTGATTTGGCCCCCGAGCCTTCAGTTTGACATCTATCTGTAAATCAAGCTAGCTAACATCACTATTTATCCAGCTAACTTACCATAGCTACCAAGCTAACAAACTAGTTAGTGAATGCTATTACATTATACGGCGCCCTATAGCCGGCGAAGCATAACGTGAAAACTTCAAAGATTGTTGTTGACAGATTAGATTTGCTTAATCAATCGTATGATCTGTTTTTACCCTTGATATTCAATACATTGCAGGTCTACCTAAATGCGTAGACCTGCAATGATCAATCATTTTCAAAAAGCACAAGTTAATATAATTGGTATTGCTCTAATCACAATTTCCTAATACATTGTAAAGTACAATGGGTTACATGAAATGCAGGACGTGCAGATAAAAACTCTTCGTATCACTGAGGCCGGTGTGTTTGTTGTGTTGTCAGCGTGTGACACGGACCGCACACTGCTGTTTTGTCAACAACTAAAACACATGTTCAGCATAGAGTGAAATGTGGGAGGCAAAATGTTTGTTCATTCCACAAAGCGGGGGGGTTCTCTAACAAAATGTCACTCTTTCCTGCAGCTGTTATCCCGTGTTTGTTCAACTCTCTCAGTGAACTTTCACTGCTCTGCTTCTTGGCTTTGTGTTTAAAATAACAAATGGTCCCATTCTCTGCAAATCTTGTCAAGCGCAGCAGATAAAGAAATCCTAATATTGTGGCTATGAGGTCCTTTAATATGAAATAGTTTGACTTCTTTACAGCATTTATCAAGGTATATGAGTGTTCGACCCATTCATACCAATGAGGGTAGACTAAATATTCAAAATACTTCACAGGGTAACAATTATGATTATTTGTATTCAACTAATTCAATATAAAGAGGACATATTATATTTGCAGGTTCATATTTGTATTTAGTGCTCTACTGTGACATGTTTACATGCTTTAATGTTCACCCTCTGTCTGAAACCAGAGCCCAGTCTGCTCTGATTGGTTAGCAGACCGTCTCTGCTTTAACCCATAAAGATGTCCCCCCCTTTAGCCTATAATGTACAATGTGTTGGAACTCTAGCCAATAGAAGTGGGAGTTTCAGGCAGGGGGGGAGTGTGTGCGAGAGAAACTTTTTCTGGGTGAGCTCTGGGTTTTTAGCATTTGCCGACCATGACATTCACTTTAGTTTACTGAAAACAAATGTTTCTATTTGAATTATGTTTGATAATGCCTTTATAAAGATGAAACTTTTTAATCCTGTGCCCACATATGGACACAAATTACATTTACATGTAATTGAATTAGGATGATTGAATATATTCTGTTTTAGTCTTCCATAACAGACACATTTAATGTCATTAAGAAGAAGAGGGACGGATCCCTTTCATTCACAATACTCATCACATCACTAAAGTTAATTTGTTTTCCTAATCTGGTTTTCAATTACACCTTCAAATGATTATGTGCCGTCTCAGTGGAGCGCTGCATCAAATTAATCTCTCATTTCTGCTATCACGCAATATTAGTTTAATCCTTAATTCTAACAGTCCTTGTGTGCCACAGCTTCACACTCTTTGAGGGCAAGACTTTAAATTCAAACCATGCATGATAATGCTGTTCCTCTTTTAGAAGGACTAATTTCTCTCTTCTCGTGCAAAAATAAAGTCTCTGCTATATTTACCGCGCCTGCAGCTTACTAAAGGCTTCAGCAGAGATCTGTCTGATTATTCCCCCCCTTCCTTACTGTCTTACATAACCGTCTTCACGGAAAGTGTTGGGTTGTAAGTGTTACATATCATTTCATGTTCCTCTTTAGTAATATTCACCCTCCAGCTATGGCTGTCCTTTCATATATCCTTTCCTTTTGTCTATATTTTCCTTGTAGCAACACATGTGTTTGCTTCTCTGTGCTGTTCCTTGATATAAGAAAAGTCAAAGGGCTGCAGACACTCATCGACTTTTGTTTTTGTCTTTTTCAAATATTCAACATTCAAGGATTTTATTAACGTATGCAGAGCAGAATGGTAGTTTTAGAAAATGACATTTCAACCGGTATCCCCCCACCTCCACATCCTCCTGCCCTCTCTGTCTTGCCCTTACAGATACAGTATGTGACACAGTCAGATAATGAAGATAACTTTATTTGTGTAGCACTTTTCAAACATACAGTAGTTACAAGGAGCTTAACAGAATAAGATAAACCATGAATATGGTCTTTGTAGTATTTATTGGAATATTTCAAAACTACCCTAAAGTACTGCCGTCAGAGAGTTCCTGCTACCCACTTAAAGTGGACCTATCATGCTATATTTGAAATATATATTGTAGGGCCATACCTATATAAAACATGTCTGCGAAGTTTTTTTTTCAAAATACCAAACAGATCATGCATTTTAGCCATGCCTCATTACGCACTATTTGCTCTGTTTTTGCAAGAGCTGAATCTGAGAAGTCTTCTTCGCTGCTTTTGTGGCAGACTACAGCGCCACCTACAGGCCTGGCTTATGTACTACAGCGTAAAAAAAAAAGAAGAATAACAAAGAAAAAATGTAATGCAGACTAATAACAATTTGTTTTTTTTTGCGTTTGTCTCCCAAGGTGAGATCACATATGGAGGCAGAGTGACGGATGCCTGGGACCAGCGCTGCCTCAGGACCATCCTGAAAGGCTTCTTTTCGCGTAAAACCCTGGGGTCTGGCTACTCCTACTCCCACTCAGGTATTTCATTTAAGAGGGATTAAGAGCACAACTAACAGAAACACATTACAATGTGCTCCTCTCCCACCCAAGCGTCAGGATCAGAGTCATCATCCTCAGAAGCTTCAAACTGATATTGATGCTGCAACAGCCAAAATTAAAACATTGGAAGCTTCTGAGGATGATGACTCTGATCCTGACGCTTGGGTGGGAGAGGAGCAGTATGACACTGGTCAGCCAGATGAAAATGATGATTTCCAGGATGAAGAGAACCAAGAGTTTCATATACTCAAATTCAATTAACTCAAATCATGCAGCCCCTAGTGGTCATGTGGAAGTATTACAACCAGGGCCCACAACAGGGACAGCAGCATCAGCACAGCAGCATCACTCCATCCAAGTCAGACAAAGCTCTCGTACAGAAAGCAATGACTTTATTCAAGTAATGCAGCGGCAAAACGAATTCACTGAAATGCTAATGAAGGAGCAACGCTTAACATTACTCCCATCCAGAGAAATACCCATCTTTAAAGGAGATCCATTACAGTACCTTTCATTCATCAGAATATTTGAACATACAATAGAAGATAAAACTGACAATTACAAAGACAGGCTGTTCTTTCTAGAGCAGTATACAGAAGGCCAAGCTAAAGACTTGGTCAAAAGTTGCCAATACATGGATTCTAAAAAGGGCTTTTTGGAAGCCAAAAGACTGCTCCAAGAGAACTATGGACATCAACTCTTAATCGCAGCAGCTTGTTTGGACAAAATGTTGAACTGGAATGCCATCAAGAGTGAAGATAGAAAAGCACTGCATTCTTATGCTATCTTTCTTCGTGGATGTTGCAACACAATGGAAGATGTTGAGTTTTTGGATGAAATGTGATCATGAAACTCCCATTTAAACTTAGGGAAAAGTGGAGAACAACTGCATATGCATATTATGAACACAATAAGACAAGAGCAAAGTTTCCAATATTGGTCGACTTCATTGAAAAGCATGCACGCATTGTATCAGACCCCATGTTTGGAGACATACAGGATGTCATGCCAAAAAGGGACAAAGTGTACAAATCACCCAGCAATAAGCCTGCTCATGGTTATAAGGGAAGTAGTTTTGTTACTGTAACAAGCCCAGGAGTCAATGAAGAGCAAAAACCTTTCCAAAACATCAAATCAGACCATAAAGGCATTACTGTTCAGAAGCGCTGTGTACTTTGTGCAGGAGAACACACCTCTGAAACATGTAAGATGAACAAAACATCTCACAATGAAAAAATCGACTGCTTAAAAGCACAAGGAATTTGCTTTGGCTGTCTAACGAAAGGACATCTAAGCAAAGACTGTCAGAAAAGAATGAAATGTGAAGTGTGTTCAATGAAACATCTAACAATATTGCACATCTACAAAAAAGGATTGAACAAAAAGACAACTCTGATAAATACACCCAAGCAGCTTCTGTAAGCAGTGCATTAGTCTCTTTAAATGGCAGAAACCACACTGGGGCCGGTGGTCAACAAACCCTACCAATTATCCCAGTTCAAATCAAGTTGTCAAACTCAAACCAGACTGTGCAGACTTACGCATTTATGGATCAGGGAAGCACTGCAAGTTTCTGTACTGAAGCCCTTCAACAAGATTTGCATGCCAAAGCCAAGAGAACAAAAATCCTCTTAAAAACAATGGGTCAGGAGAAAATGATTGACACTTCCTTTGTCAAAGGTCTTGAAGTGAGTTGCATCGAAGACAATGATTTTTATCAGCTGCCTAAAGTCTACACACAAGAGGAATTCCTGCTGGAAAAGAGCACATTCCCACTCAAGAGACCATAAATAAATGGAAATATCTAAGAGAAATTAAGTTGCCTGAATTGGATTGTGAAATCGGGTTGCTTATAGGAACAAATGCACCAAAGCTAATGGAGCCGTGGAAAATAATAAACAGTCAAAATGGAGGACCCTTTGCTGTTAAGACAGTCCTAGGTTGGGTTGTACAGTAAATGGACTGAATCAGGAAACCACTGAATCTGAGAATACTTCATGTGCTGTTGTTAATCGGATATCAGTGACAGATTTAGGTGAGCTGCTGGTGCAGCAATACAATCATGACTTTCCAGAGAAAGGTTGTGATGAGAAGAAAGAGATGTCAGTTGAAGACAAGCCATTTTTAAAGATCATGTCAGATTCAGCTCAAATCAAAGATGGACATTATCAGCTTGAACTTCCATTCAAACTGAAGAATATCATGATGCCAAACAATCGCAAACTTGCAGAGCAGAGAGCAGAATCATTAATAAGGAAATTCAAAAGGAACAAAGTTTTCCATGATGAATATAAAACATTCTTGGAGGCTGTGATAGCAAAAGGTCACGCTCAGCTACTGCCCCAAGAGCAGCTCAAACCTGAGAGTGGAAAGGTGTGGTACATACCACATCATGGGGTTCATCACCCAAAGAAGGGCAAGATTCGTGTAGTGTTCGATTGTTCCGCATCTTATCAAGGATATTCATTAAATTACAAGCTTATTCGGGGTCCCAATCTTACCAACACGCTACTTGGTGTGCTCATTCGATTCAGACAAGAACAGATAGCTTTCATGGCTGATGTCGAGGGGATGTACCATCAGGTCAAGGTGGCTCCTGTCAATCAAGATTATCTTCGCTTTCTTTGGTGGCCAGGAGGAGATGTCAGTTTACCTCTTGCCGAGTACAGGATGACAGTACATCTATTTGGTGCCACTTCATCAGCAAGTTGTGCAACCTATGCTCTCACTAAAACCGCTGAAGACAACAAAGATGATTTCTCTGCAGAAGCTGTTGACACTGTCGGAAGAAATTGCTATGTTGATGACTGCTTAAAATCTGTCGCTTCTGCTGATCAAGCTGTGAAGTTATCTGAAGAACTCAAGGATCTTTGTGCAAAGGGAGGATTTAATCTGACAAAGTGGACAAACAACAGTAAAACTGTGCTGGCATCCATCCTAAAGAGTGAAAAACCCAAAGAGGTAAAAAACCTGGACTTAGAGACCCAAGACAATCTTCCAATAGAAAGAGCCCTAGGGATACAGTGGCATGTGGAGGAAGATGTTTTCAAGTTTCAAGTCTGCTTAAAATCTCAACCAGCCACAAGGAGAGGCATCCTTTCAACAGTCTGCTCTGTGTATGACCCACTTGGATTTCTTTCACCATTTATCTTCACTGCAAAGCATGTCTTACAAGAGTTGTGCAAACTCAATTGTGGGTGGGACGAAGAAATCCCGGAGGCTCTCAAGAAACAGTGGCAAAGATGACTCATGGGATTAAAGCAGATAGAAAGATTCAAGATTGATCGATGTATCAAACCAAAGAATTATGGACAAATTAAATCTGCACAATTGCACAATTTCAGTGATGCAAGCGAGATTGGATACGGTGTTGTCACCTACCTTAAGATGACAAATGAAGATGAAGACGTTCACATATCCTTCATGTCAGGAAAGTCACGTGTCGTGCCTCTGAAAAAAGTTACTGTCCCAAGATTGGAGCTCACAGCAGCAGTACTGGCAGTACGCATGGACAAGATGATCAGAACCGAGCTGCAAATCCCATTATGCAAATCTGTCTTCTGGACTACCAGACTACATCTGTTCTGAGATACATCATGAATTAAACACTAATGTTTCAGACATTTGTAGCCAACAGAATAAGTCTGATCAGAGAAGCAACAGCAACATCACAGTGGAAATACATCAACACTAAACTGAATCCAGCAGATGATGAATCTCGGGGATTGGCAGCAGAATCGTTCTTGAAATGTGAGACTTGGATAAATGGTCCATTGTTTCTGAAAGAACCTGAGGACAAATGGCCTGAGTTTCCGGACGCACTTAAAATGGTCAATGACAGCTATCCTGATGATCCAGAGGTGAAGAAGGACAAATTCAACGTGAACCCAACCATTGCATCACTACTCTGATTGGAGGAAACTGAAAAGAGCAGTTGCATGGTTCCTTCAAGTAAAACATCTCTTGCTGCTTTCAAGTAAGAAGAGGAAGGAAGTTACTTCTACTCAAGCAAAAGAACCAAATCGAATAAAGCTGATTGAGAAGGAGATGAGAGTGTTTAAAGACTCTATGAGAGGTCTCACACTCTCTAAGGATAACTTGGATAAGGCTGAAGCAGCATTGTTGTGTTTCTGTCAAAAACAGTCTTTTCCAGAGGAAACTTTGAAAAGGGGAAAACCTATCAAAGGAAGTAGTACACTGTATAAATTGGATCCAGTGTATGAGAATGAACTGATAAAGGTTGGAGGAAGGCTAAATAAAATGGCAATGCCTGAGGAAGCAAAGCACCCAACCATTCTTGGAAAACACCACCATGTCTCTAAATCCATACTTCGAGATATTCATCAACAAGTTGGTCACAGTGGAAGGAATCATATGTTATCCAGGTTAAGACAAAAATACTGGATACCATGTGCCAATGCATTAGCCAGAAAAATAATATCTGAATGTACCGTGTGCAGACGCATGCATGGAAATGCAGGAGAACAAAAAATGTCAGATCTGCCAAAAGACAGAATTACACCAGACCTACCACCATTCACATGTTGGAGTGGATTACTTTGGCCCACTGGAAGTGAAAAGAGGACGAAGCATTGTGAAACGATATGGAGTTATCTTTACCTGTCTAACAACCAGAGCGGTGCACTTGGAAGTTGCTCATTCGTTAGATACAGATTCATGCATTAATGCCTGCAAACGTTTCATCAGCAGAAGAGGACAAGTATTGGAGATGAGGTCAGACAATGGGACTAATTTTGTTTCTACTGAAAGAGAGCTGAAGGAATCTATAAAAGAGTGGAATCTGAGCAAAATAGAACAAGCCCTCCAGCAAAAGGATGTGAAATGGACCTTCAATCCTCCTTACGGAGCACATCATGGCGGAGTATGGGAAAGACTAATCCGGCTTGTAAAGAACATGCTGCTATCCATCACAAAACAACAAACACTTGATGACGAAAGCCTTTCAACAGTTCTGTGTGAAGTTGAATGAATTCTCAACAGCCGACCAATAACTACAGTGTCAAATGATCCAAATGACTTAGAACCTCTCACACCAAACCATTTGCTGCAGCTCAAGGTCAAACCTTCGTTGCCCCCAGGCTTATTCCATCAGCAAGATACATACTCAAGACGCCGCTGGCGACAAGTGCAGTACATAGCTAATTTGTTTTGGACCAGATGGATCAAAGAATATCTACCACTTTTGCAAGAAAGACAGCAATGGAATCGCATTAAAAGGAACTTCATACCTGGAGACATCGTATTAATCATGGATTCAAATGCACCTTGTGGATCCTGGTTAATGGCAAGAGTTATGGAGACGCGTCTCCATAACTCTTGGATCTGGAGGACTGATTCGGAGTGTTCTTCTTAAGACAAAAACCAACACGCTGGAAAGACCAATAAGCAAAATATGCCTACTGGTGCCTGCCTTAGAATAAGGAAATAACTGAATATGGACAATTAAGACACCCTGTCTATCTCAAATAGGATATGAAGACTGACTTTGTCTGGCTCTTTTTGAATTTTTGTTTATTGTTATTAAAGATGCCCATAACAATAGGGGCCGGTATGTTAGAGCCAGTCATTTGATTTGATAAGAAAGGCCACCTAATTGTGACGTCTGTAGTCAACGCACTATAAAGGACTACAATTCCCACGGCGCCTGTGCTAACGCCACAGTGATGGGCAACCTGTTGAGAGACGCCGTCGAGGAACAGTTTTTAACCGTACTCAATCGTACTCGGAACCGTACATACAAACCGTACAAGTACCCTTTAAGTTGTGAAGTTATCAAGAAAGAAAGAATACCTAAGTTGTGTTGTTTTATTTGAGTTTTGTCTATTTCTTTTGAATATTGTAAAGGCCTATTTTTCTTTGTTGCATGTGCAAAAGTTTGTTACTTTATTTTGAGCAAATACATCGCAACATCTTCTAAACCATCGGAGGCCAAGCAACACTTCAAACTGTGAGTACTTTAAGGAAAGAAACGAGTTAGAACTGTCTGTTTAACGCGTCTAGTGGCTTGGTAGAAAAACAAGGAAGGAAGCCACGACAATAATGGTATTTATTATAGCAGGTGTATGCCCATAATACTTTCTTTGGATTAACAGTTTTTCTCACGTCTGTTTAAGGTATCTACTTTGCCCCGGAGAAAGATGAACTGGAGCAATATAAGAAATATATCGAGAGTCTTCCGATCATAGATGATCCCGAGGTCTTTGGCATGCATGAGAATGCCAACTTGGCCTTTCAGGTAAGACAACATAGCAGTATCTTAAAGAAATATATATACGCAACTTTCTCTAAAGAGCAGATGTTGTAAACTAATTGTCGAAATGTTTCATTTGATTTTGTTTGTTTTTCGGATGCGTTATGTATTCCAATAACTCCTTTTAACTAGCAGATGTCATTATTTATTTGTCAAGTCTACTTTAAACTGGAGCTGCTCATACATTTTACAGCTGGTTGTAAAAACATTTCTTTCCGGAGAGCGTGAGAGGGCAACTGTGAAATATCAATGAACGAGGGTGCTTCAGTATGTGAGTGTTTATTATGTGTTTGCTTCCACAGCGCCAAGAAACCATGACTCTGATCAGCACCATATTGGATGTGAATCCTCGCTCATCAGCTTGCGCTGGGGCCAAAAGTAACGATGACATAGTCTGCGAGCTCGCTGAATCCATCTTAGCCAAGCTACCAGGTACATGCAAACACAAACATACATGTGTGTATCATGCATTTATGGGACATGGATACAGATAAAGAGAAGTGGGAGAAGAGGGGTGAAAGCCCCCAAAAGTCTAAGCCTATAGTCGCGCAACTATGGGCTGGTTCAGGGTAATCCTGAGCCAGCCCTAACTATAAGCTTTTATTTTTAAAAGGAAGAGAATGTGCATCGTCATTAACCAAAAATATAACGCAGTGTTTTCCATCTGTGTTGTTGTGTCTGTTTGTCTCCCTACTTTTCTACCTTTCTGTGCAGATCTTCTGGAAATGGACGAGGCGGTTGAAACTCTTTTTATCAAGGACGAAAACGGCCGCCTTAACTCCCTGACGACCGTGTTGGGCCAAGAGGTGGACCGATTCAACAACCTGCTGAGGGTGCTCAAGGTGACACACATGGCTAGCTCCCATAAACACACTCTAGTATGTATATATATATATAACACACTGGCTACTTTATTGCTTTTTTATCGTCTCTCTTCACCAGTACAACCTAGTGCAATTTACAGGGTTCTTACGGTCATTAAAAACCTGGAAAAGTCATGGAAATTCAAAATGCTAATTCCAGGCCCTGGAAAAGTTATGGAAAACAATATTCTTCCCAAAGTTTTAGAAAAGTCATGGAAATGTAACTAAAGTTGCATCAAATATAATTTATATTTTATCAAATCGCCGAAATAGTAATACTATAATGAGAATAAATACTGTATCGTATAGTAATGAAACGTAAAATGGCATTTAACTGCCGAGGTATTTTGCTGGTGAGAGATTTGAGTTGCGTTAGCCTGTAGAAGCTAGCAAGCCTACTATTGGATTTGTTTTAGATAGGCACAACATGTTTCATATGCAGACCTTGTTTTCCTGTTCCATGTTAAAATAAACCATTGTCAGTGGCACCGCTGAGAAAGAGTAATTTTTTTGGTCATGGAAAATTAGGTGAAGGTCATGGAAAATCATTGGTGAAAAAGTGTATGAACCCTGAATGTAATGCAACAGCTTTGCCATACATTCTACCTACATTTACAAAGTTATTTTGTGTTGTTTTACAGTATATGAATGTAAATGTCAGTATCGAGTGGTCTTTAGTTAGCATGTGTATCTGGGTCTGCATGAGTTATCCTCTCATCCCAACTGTCCAAAGAACCGATTCTAAATAAATAAGTGAATGATGTAAGGTTATGTCATATCTGTAACTACATAAAGAGATGATATTGGAAGACTGTGATTCCAAGTAAACACTCAACATTGTACACTCATATCCAGAAGTGTTACAGTAATTAGTTTTAAGGAACAGAACACTTGTCACTGTCTTGAATATGTACATTCAATGATATGTTTAGAATTGAATGTACATATGTATCTTTTCATTTACATGAGAGAGGAAGAATAATAGAAAGAATGTTATGCAGTTTGTCACAACACTAACTCTGACCTCAGTGCTAATTGAGTAACATCCAACAAAATTGAGAAAAACAATGTTCAGACAGCATGTATTATAAGCATTGGATACATCATAAATCACTTTTTAAGACATCCTATTTTCTTTTCTCTACCTCATTCTGATATACTGTACTTTTTTCTTTTTTCCCCCAGTTGTCCCTTGTGACTCTCAAGAAAGCCATCGCAGGTCTTGTGGTGATGTCAGAGGAGATGGACTGCATATACACAAGCTTCCTGAACAACCAGGTTCCCACCCACTGGGCAAACTCTGCCTACCCTTCCCTCAAACCCCTGGCCTCCTGGGTCAGGGACCTGACCCTCAGGACCGCTTTCATCCAGGTAGGAAATGTCATCCTAGGCACTGTCTTTTATTTAAATGCACCATTTTGACTGAAAGACAACAGAAAAGGAAGTTAATGAATAAGAGAGTAGCAAAAACATACAGAAATGTGCTAATAGACACATTTTGTGTATTTGTGTGTGTGTTTGTTGAAAACACTAATAACTCATGAACACTCTGCATTTATCCCCAAGTGATCTCTTTATGCCTCTTTCTTTCTCTCTCTGCACACCGTCTTTGAGCACTCGGTGCCTCTCCCCTGGCTTAAAGTGTTCTTCCGTGAGACTGGTCTGAACATGTGTTTGCCCATCACTTAGTCCTCCTCTCTCACACAAACACAAAGGGGACAACCGTCAGCGTTGCATTAGTTTATGAAGCGATGTGTATTCGCTGAGTCACACTGCACATGCTCACTACCTCTGAAGAGAGAATCCACCTCACTGCCAGTCCACTCTCGGGCCCATAAGTAACAGGGTGCCTGTAATGCATCATGGCTTGTTAAACACTGACACAACACATTTCAAAGTTATTTAAAGATACATTTGAATTACCCTGCTCTCTTCTCCTCTCCTTTCTAGATGTGGATCAATCAGGGTCAGCCCAAATCTTTCTGGATCTCAGGATTCTTCTTCCCTCAAGGCTTCCTTACTGGTAAAACTCACCATAATGTCTATCATGTTTTCCCCATAAGCCATAGAGGTAACTAAGCAGAAATTCAAAGCTGCTAAAATACATCAAACTCACTTTAAGGCCCTATGTCCTTTGGCTTTTATCCATCTATTTCGGCTACTTTATATTTGACGTTGTTTTTTCACAATGAATACCAACTGGAGGATTCTTGCGCCCACATTTTGTAGAAATGTGTTTCATTTCTCACAGCCACCCAGCAGCCGTAGAGCAAAGAGGAATGACACAGCAAAAAGAAACTGCTCCTCCAGTTTTCTTCAATGAGGGCACAAGGGTTTTTCTGCTGCGCTTTAACTTCAAGTATTTTAAACTTAAAGCACTCGAAGCGGCCGCATAAAAACGTCAGAATGATCAGAATTGAAAACCCATTGAAAACAATTGAAAAATGTCCCTGGTAACACAAAGTAACACAACAAAATAAAACAATAAGATGGTCTTTTCTGCCTGCTGGCCTGTAGGGGTACTTCAGAATCACGCCAGACACTACAATTTGCCCATTGATGAGCTGAACTTCCGCTTCAACATGGTGCCGGTGTTCCGAGACCAGGTGGCGGTCTCTGAGGCTCTACGGGATCTGCCCGAAGACACCAAACTGGACATCGATGATGAGGTACTGAAAAGGGAGGTTTTTGTTGGTTAGTAATATTTAAGAATTGTGATAAATTAACATTGTCCTAGTTGTGTTGGGGATAAGGGACCAACCAACCGGTGACTGCAGAATACTTGTGGGGGAACATTGTTGCATGTAACCCCCCCATACTGCTGTCCCCATCCCCTAATGTGGTGGCTCTCTCACAAGGACATTGAAAAAATTAAGAGAAAGTTATTTTTAAAATGATGAAGTATTTGAATTATTCTTACTTTGAGGTTTCCGCGTTCAGCAACATTTTGCATTAACTTAAATTCACCCAAAAATGAAACAAACCTCATGGAAAGCTATAGAGGAAGGATCCTTCTACCAGGACGGACATCAGTGCTATGGATGTGTTGTGTTTGGATTAAAAAAGATAATGAAATTACAAAAAAGACAATCCAAATAATAACAATGATAATGTATATGAATTCTTTTTTAAATGGATCACAGGAAATGTCAACAAGTTGTAAGTCTTCCTGAGGCACAAGAGGCAGCCATACATGCAAAAAGAGGATTGATGACTGAAAGTATGTTTCCTTGTTCACCATTACTCCATGTCCTGTGTCGGTGCAACAGCTACCAGAGCCGCAGGACGGCGTGCTCGTGCACGGCATGTTTATGGATTCCAGTCGCTGGGACAATGACAACATGGTGATCGAGGATGCGTTACCCCGGGTGATGAACGCCATGCTGCCCGTGGTGCACTTTGAGCCGCAGCAGAACTACGTGCCCGAGCCCGACCTCTACCAAGCTCCTCTGTACAAAACCTCCGCCAGAGCCGGGACTCTGTCCACCACAGGTACGCTCTGACATTATACCATGTTTACATTTAGCTGATACATTTGCCACAGAATCAGAAGGCAGGGGTTTATTGATTTGCCCAAGGCCACTTTAGATTAGAATGATACCTTTTATAATGACTCTTTTTATGATGGGGTGTGTTTGGGGTACAATAACTTACAACTTTAAAGTAAGTGAGTGAGTAAAACTTTATTTATATAGCACCCTTCACAACACGAATGTACAAAGTGCTTTACAGTATACAGTACACAATTCAAAGCACAACTATAAAATGTAGAAAAAAGCATAAACACAGCAAGTAAAACACCAATGAAAAACAGCTACAAACTCACCACTTGTCGGAAAAGGTGAGTCTTTAGCTGCCCCTTAAAATCTCTACTGAGACAGAGGCTCTTCATTTCTGGGCGTGCCTTGGAGTAATGTGCATACATTACCAGAACAGCAATCTAAACATTGGATGAAGCCAGGCTAAAAAAAGTATTGTTTTGTTGTAAATGTATTATCTCTTTGATTGCACGTCTGTCCGTCCTGGGAGAGGGATCCCTCCTCTGTTGCTCTCCCTGAGGTTTCTCCCATGTTCCCTTTAAACTGTGGGTTTTCTCCAGAAGTGTTTCCTTGTACGATGTGAGGGTCTAAGGACAGAGGGTGTCGTATTGTCATACTGATATTCTGTACAAACTGTGAAGACCACTGAGACAAATGTAACATTTGTGATATTGGGCTATATAAATAAACATTGATTGATTGTTGAGATATTAGAGCTTCCTGTTAATAAGAAAAGGCTGTGAAGAGCCATTACCCATTAAATCCATTGTCGCTAGATTTTATCAAATAAAATGTGATATAAATCAGGCTAGAAATGATCCATGAAACTTTGGATTATAAAAAGATTTACAGCTGGAAAGTTTGGTTTCTTTACCAAAGTGGAGATTTTTGGCTCAGAGAGGGGAAAAAACATCTTTGTTGTATTCTTTACATGTTGCAAGACACTAACGATGAACAAGCTAACACTGTTAACTAATATACCAATCCGTGGAACCTCGCCAGTTCATGCAAATAAGGCAATATCTCATGCTAATTTCTGCAAAATTCTGGATACATATATATCGTTTTATAACCACCTTCATGCATATTTTAGATGTTTTCTCAACAATAGTCTGAAAGAATACTTGTTATGGAAGCATAATAGCCCAAAATCGATTAGGGCATGAACAAAAAGGTTATTCCCTGCAGTTTTGTGCCTTAAGCAATGTAATGATTTATCTCATTTGTTCCCATTACCCTTCATTTCTGTCTCCATCCAGGTCACTCGACCAATTTTGTTGTGACAGTAATGCTTCCCTCCAACCGACCCAGCGACTACTGGATATCAAAAGCCTCTGCTCTGCTGTGCCAGTTAGATGATTGAGTTTGTATGCAAGGACACAAAGGAGTTGGAAATGTGACTGCATGGAACATACACTTCTAAGCACAACTTTGAATTAACGTTGAAGCTTTTGTGGAATTATTTATAAAGATTGCTGAAAATGCACTTACTTCTTACACAGTACAATAAACACATCTGCCATGGATCTACCTGCTTCCTTTTGTACACTCTTGTGTGTCCATGGAGATTAATATCAGGTCATTTCAGCGGCAAATTCTTATTCTGCTGACACTTGATGACAGGGGGCAGTACATCCAGACCTGGGAAGATGCGTTCCTGTCTCCAGTCTCCCATACTGAAGAGCTCTTTCACGCTGTGAAGTGAGTGAATGGATTTGCTTACGGGAAAACACAGTACACATGTAACCTCCGGGAGCCAAATACGGAGGGATGGATGGAGAACACATGAATGTTTCTCAAAAAAAACAGGGAATAGCTGGGAGGGATGTGTTGAGACAGGAGAAGGACGGATGATCATCTCATCATGATGAAATGTTTTCCGCCACAGCCCACACACACATCAGCTGCCTATGTGTGTCACTTAGGGCATGCAGTGCACACACATAAAATATGGCTCTTCAAATACATTAGGTACACCCACTGCAGTGCCGGGGCATCGTGCAGATGCACGCCATCTCTGTCTCCGCCAAACACTCCTTCGCCAAGAAGGGGTGGGTGTACAGAAACACTATATTTAATAGCAACCTGTCAGCAGGAGCAGCAGTGTTGGTACAGATGATAGACATTTGTATATAACAAAATCACATCTCATTTTGTAAGGGGCCCTATTATGCTTTTGGGATTTTCCCTTTCGTTGTCGTGTGTTATAGGTTTTTGTGCATGTAAAAGTTCCTTCCAGAGGGAGTTTCTCTCCCAGATACACACATTAAAACATGGAGACATGTCACTGTACAGCAGTGGTTCTCAACCTTTTTCTGCCATTCCCCACTTTGAACAGGTGGGCCTTTTCAAGCCCCACCTGTTCCTCATCGCTCCAAGAAAATGGTAGGACAAGCTTAAAATTGTCAAATGTATCGTTCTATAACAGGGGTCTCCAACCTTTTTTAGGATGAGAACTACTTTCAAAAAATAAAACAAGTCGTGAGCTACTTTTACTCCTCGTTTTTTTTTTTTTTTGCAGGGTATATACTTAGCAAATGTTAACATTATTATATGCTTACCTTTAACCTTTGCGTGCTGTTGGAAGACTTTTTTTTTTAAATGTTGAAGTGAAATGCCTCAATCTGGTGCACTTTGAGCACAAAATGAATGTATAGATACAGCTCTCAACACTCAGATGAAAGGGAGCTGTATACTTTTCAATAATCCAAACATCTTTAGAATATGATCACAACCAATAACTAATCATTTAAACTGGTTTATTCTTATCTTATGTTACCTAGTTAGCATTCTTTCTTTTTATGTATACATATTTTACTAATCACTCCCCTTTTAAACTGTTTTTATTTTTTTTACTGTCCTATAGTAGGCTACACATTGGAATGATTTCTTACTTTATTTTTTACAACTAGGCTATATTAAATAGATAAAGGTGTGCTCTCTCTCTCTGTCTCTCTCTCTCTCTCTCTCTCTCTCTCTCTCTCTCTCTCTCTCTCTCTCTCTCTCTCTCTCTCTCTCTCTCTCTCTCTCTCTCTCTCTCTCTCTGTCTCGCTCGCTAACAGAGGCTGTGTGCTCCTCCGTGGCGATGACGGCTTGCGTTAAAAAAAAGAAAAGAAACATAGGCCTATTTGTAAAGTGAGGGGACAGAAACGGGATTTTGAAAAGTGTCACTCCTTACGAAGTGGTGAGGTGCCGCTCCACAGTGCTTTTCCTCCCGACTGCAACGTGTGTGTGTGTGTGTGTGTGTGTGTGTGTGTGTGTGTGTGTGTGTGTGTGTGTGTGTGTGTGTGTGTGTGTGTGTGTGTGTGTGTGTGTGTGTGTGTGTGTGTGTGTGTGTGTGTGTGTGTGTGTGGGCCGCTGGCTCTGGCATAGGTGGGCCATGGACTTTCACAGCGCCGGTACTGCATCCGCCGCCGCAAACACCTGCCGTTGCGTATCTCCGGCGGTAACAGTCCACTACCGCCCGCGAGGACCCATGTTCGATTCCGGCCTGAGGTCCCAACAAAATTCATTAATGATAATCTCCCGTTCATCGCGTCCATTCACAACCCACCTATCACATCTCTGCGCCCCACACTTTGAGAAACGCTGCTGTACAGGCACAACATGCAAATATGAACTTGAACATTTGCATTATAGGGTCCCCTAGCAAACAAAAAAAGTATAACTGCAATGTAGCTTCTGGTTTACCCTTGGTAAAGCATTATTCAGTATGTTTGTCAGCGCCTCGCGGAGTATTTCAATGTTTTTCATTCTATTTGAATTGTTGTATTTTAAGATACAATTCTCATTAAAACATAGTATCGTCGAAAAGCATCCTCATTTCAAATAATGAACAAGAATATTTTTGAATCACGCAGAGTTAGAATTCATTTAAATATATCCTTTTATATTGAAAATGCATTACTGTTAATATAATTAGTGAGTCTTAGGCTGACTTCACACCACAGCGAATTCTTCATTATTCAAGGCAAATTGTGATTAATACATTATTTCACTTTTTCTGCATTGATGGAAAAAATAATAGAATTGTATTTTATGTTGATTGTTGTGTTGATTGTTCTGTCACTAAGTTACAAATCTCAAATAGAAAAAATATCACAGTATAGTATAATAATACTGTAATGCAGGAAGCAGCATTAAACAGCAACAAAACAAAAAGAAGCAGCATTCAAAACATCAAATATGTTGATGTAAAACCAAATCTGTATTATTGCTGTGAAGCAACTATGTTGTAATGCTGCTGACCTTTGGAGGATGTATTCATTCTTATTATATTCAGCTGCCAAAATATAAACAATGTACTTAATTCATCAAATAGTATGCCATTAAATAGCAAAGCGTAATGGCAGCCCACTGCTCCTAACACTAGGATGGGTCACATGCAGAATGTACATTCCCCCTCTGTGGGACTATTAAGGGTATATAAATAAATAACAAAATAAAAGCAATATGTGAAAATAATGATTATTCAATTCTATTTTACTTACTTACTTTACCTTTTGTACCAACTCTCCTTTATAATTAATTTGTTATTAAGTGTTCCCCTCAAATCATTTTCATTTTTGAATGTATTTATTTCAAATGTATTTGTTCCTTTTCAAATGTCTATTTAGTTGTGTATTTATTGATTCATTTATAGATGATTTTCACTTTGTACTTTCCACCTTGTTTATTTTTCTGAACTTAGTTATTTCTGTATTTTTCTTAAATCATTGCTAAGAATTTCACATGATTTTTCGGTTAAGTGCATCATGAGCTTTTTGAAAAGTAAATCGTAAAATAGTTTAACATTTAGGAACATCATTAATATTGTTTTAATTCTTAGTGTTATAAAAGTTTGAGACATTTTGTAGCGGAAAGAGGAAACGATGAGTCATGAATAATGATGGCGAATGTGTCAACTTTATTCTGAAGTCCGGATTTCCTATTAACACTTTCTGTGTCTTCCTCTCTTCTTCCTCCCCACTATCTGTTCGTCTGTCAGTCACTGTCCAACGTGTACAGCCTGCTTTGCACTTTGTTTATTAGACTTACTCAATCTGTCTGTTTCTGTGCAGGGTTTGAACCTGATCAGAGGAAGTTGTGTTACAGTGCGAACGCATCCCCAAATCTGTAAATGGTGATGAGGTGTGTGCGGGGCATTTCAGCTCACATCATCAGGACATGTCAGTTCGGAGGTGAACCCTTTCTATTATTAATACCACTTGCATACCCGGATGGTGAGAAAAACAGATTTGACTTGCTGCAGTACGTTTCTGCCCTTGGATTGGGAAAGCACAGTGATGCAGTGTAATGTTTTAATTTTGTGTCAAAGTCAACTAGTGCATAGTGACTGCACAAATGACTTCACACATGCATGCTTTTCTGTTTAATCCACAGCCACTGACCTCCTTTAATATTTTATGAGACAAATTATGCACTATGAAAAACTATGAATCTACTTTAGGCCATGTTGCTATTAGGTTAGGATTCATAATAAGGAGGCAGGGGGAGGAAAGGAGTAAAACAAGACTATATGGCACAGTCACTCTAAATGTATGGTCTTCAGCTGAGTTTGGTGATGTACAGTTTTTGAAGCTTTTGTTAGCTCCAGACCCTAGTTCAGGCATCATACCGAAAACCCATGTAAAATGAAACTTGACTTTGAGACAACGAAACAGGAAGTGCTAAAAATGACGACTCATTTCTAGATTTAATGCTATAGTTCATGTGAATTGTTTTTCATTTGTTTAGAAAATGTATTTACCTGTGAATGTGTTGATTAGGCCTCAGTCATGCATAAGGTCGCACCTTACAGTATGTACAGTCCCCACCTGAAGACCAGATGGGGGGGTGTGCCAATAATTCTACAAAGTGCCTTATACAGTGGATCTTACAGGAGGGGCAGGTGTGTGGCCTTTACGTTACACTAACCACACAACGTCCAGGGAGATCTGTTCCATCTGACCTGGCAGGAACGATACCAAAAGAAACAGCTAACATTATTCACCAGGATTGCTTAACTCAAACCCCCACAACCCAGGTGATGTGTTCCATCTCAGGACCAGAAGAAGGGAAGCTCTTCTGGGACAGTCTGCAGGGAGGGGTGGACTGTGGGACAGCTCTGCATGTTGACAAATGAAAGGTTTGTGAATTTGTTTGCATGGTCTGATTAAAATTGAATTCCAGACAGTTGTCTGTCTATGCCCAGTGAAGCCTGAGATTAGATATGAACAAGTCATCACTCTTCTCTGTGTGTGTGTGTGTGTGTGTGTGTGTGTGTGTGTGTGTGTGTGTGTGTGTGTGTGTGTGTGTGTGTGTGTGTGTGTGTGTGTGGTGTGTGTGTGTGTGTGTGTGTGTGTGTGTGTGTGTGTGTGTGTGTGTGTGTGTGTGTGTGTGTGTGTGTGTGTGTGTGTGTGTGAGCTGCCAACCTGTCTTAACTAATATCAGTAAGGAGATTGGATCCGTCCTGACTTGGCTTACAGTATCTCAATCATTTGTTCCTTCTGGGAAATGAAGGACTCGGCCTTTCACATCCGGGCTC